GAACTTGCATATGAGCAACTGGTGATCTGTTCTGCAGTCGGCCCCTGGCCTTGTTCTGACTGATGATATTGAGCTTTTCCATCGTCTCTTTCCACAGATGTAGTCAATTTGATTCCTGTGTATTCTATTTGGCAAGGTCCATGTGTATAGTCACCATTTATGTTGGTGAAAAAAGGTATTTGCAATGAAGAAGTCGTTGGTCTTGTGAAATTCTATCATACGATCTCCAGCATGGTTTCTATCGCCAAGTCCATCCTTCTTTGTTTCCAACTTTTGCATTCCAATCACCAGTAATTATCAGTGCATCCTGATTACATGTTCCATCAATTTCAGACTGCAGAAGCTGATAAAAATCTTCAATTTCTTCATCTTTGGCCTTAGTGATTGGTGCATAACTAGGTTTTATAGTCCTCAGTAAAACCAAGCATGAAAAGAGGTATGAGCACAAAACTTACCCAGCAGTGTGCTGAAATTTTAGTGGTTCAGGTTAAGCAGAAGGTCTCAAACTTCTTAGATCTAAGTAGTTGTCAAGAGGGCTTCAAAAATGCTGACTACAATAGAAACTGCACTGGAGAACTCTAGATCTGTACCGTCTAATATAGTAGCCATACTATCGTTTATTGAGCACTTGAAATGTGGCTAATCTGGAATGCGATTGGTCGTTTCAAATAAACACTGGATTTTAAAAACATACTCTGGAAAGAAGAATACAAAATATACAAAAATTTTCAATATTTCATTTTGAAATGATAATATTTTGGCTTTTATTTATTTATTTTATTTATTTATTATCATTAATTTTAATTTAGTGTTTTATTCTTTAATGTGGCTACTGGAAAATTTAATATTGCATATGTGACTTGTATTTATGGCTCTTCTTATATTTTATTCAGCAACACTACTCTAGCTCCCTTTTGATAAGTAATGCCTTTTCTTAGATATGGTTCTTCCATAAATATATCAAGATGTCACAGTGTTAGTGTACAGAAAGCCAGAGTTGTAAAATTGCCATTTTAGGTAAGGATAAGAATTTTCCACATACCTATGTCCCTGGCATATGTTGGGTCCTCCCTTCACACCCCTTACTCCCCAAATTTTGCCTCTTTTTCTGGCCAGACAGATCACTTTGCTATAATTGGGGCTTCTTGGTAATTTTAGCATACTCATTGTTTGCTTTCAACTGGATTGCTTCTGAAATGTTTCTTGAAAATGAAACTGCTTTAACAATAAGCTTCTTAATTATGTCATGGGTTCACCAGGAGGGTATACAAACAGATCCTCAGCAGTAGCTAATTTTCCTTTAATTGTATCTCATTCTTATGTTGGAATATCCTATTTCTTATTCATGAAAAGCTTTAACACATGTTAATCCATTACAGGTGGAGTAACTAACACGGCACAGTATCAGAACAGACTAATGGTATATGAACCTAACCAGGTAAGAATTTTATAAGAAAAGCTCATCACTTTAATTAAAACTGATTTTAAAAGATTTCCACAGTAATTAGTCATTGGAATGCCAAGTCTATACACAGTACACATGCATCTTAAACTTATATAGAGAAAAGGAAGCATCTGGATTAACTGGTTTTTGGTTCTTTTTTTTTTAAACTCACATAATTTCAGCTTCTCTAGTTTTTATGCCGTACACAATGTTTAACTCTTTCAGAGTTTTGCCCAACATACAAAGTAAGGAAAAATATGCTGATCAGGTTAAGTGCCCTTTTATCCCATAGCTCAAGTGGCTGTTCATGTTTAAACCAAAAACCAAACCAAACCTGTTTCTGTCGAGTGGATTCCGACTCATAGCGACCCTATAGGACAGAGTAGAACTGCCCCATGGGGTTTTCAAGGAGTGCGTGGTGGATTCGAACTGCCAACCTTTTGGTTAGCAGCTGTAGCTCTTAACCACTATGCCATCAGAGTTTCCTGTTCATGTTTAGAAGCCTTTGAAGAAATGATTTTGATTGTCCTGTTGCTGTGTCCTTCTAGAAGGTATGTCATTCTAGAAGGAGAACATGGTTTCCTTATTCCCAAAGGTAGAGCAGCATATAGGACAAGTCTGAGGTAGAAGTATCTGAAGAGTTTGAGTACATTTTCACCTAACAGCTGGGGCCTGAATGGGAACCATTATGAAGGTTCCTGTCTCTTTTTTTGGTCAACTTCTCATGCACATTTAATGATTTTTTTTTCCCAAAAGTAGAACTATTTTTATTTTCCTTTCCTTCTCCAAAACATCAGTGACCTTGGCAGATGTCTGCTGAATTTTGCCATTTCTATGATTTTAGCAATGTAAATATTTTTCATGATTTTGTAAATATTCCAAAATGGTTCAATTTTGGGGTTTAATATTCATCAGTTGACATAGTGGGACATGAAACAACAGGTTGGCTTTGGCAGTCTGCTGGCCACCAAATGTGTGCAAAGAATGACCTCAGTCTATTTGGTATATTTTCAGTTTAACAATTACTTGATTCGGAATTTAAAGAAGGCGTTTCTCCCTTTGCAAACGTGTTTCCTGATGTCATTAGAAGCTGTAGATTTCAGGAACCACATATCCATGGGTCAGCAGTCCCAAGAGGGATCATTAATTTCAGTTGCTTGAGTTTGGTGCACACGTGGTTAAAGAGGAAGAAGGTGTTAACGTTTTCTCAAATGAGTTCTGTTTCATGTTTGTACACACATGCTCTTTTTAAAAATTCTGCTGGCATATTGTTTACGGTGGCTACTGGCAAACATCACATCTGTTTGCATCTTGCTCAGAATCTCAATAACTCTATCATTCAGCCCTGGTACTTATTTCTCTTCTAGGCCTTTGTGGAGAGTCGATAATGCCTGCCATCTGCCACAGAGCACATTGCTACCTGCCAGCAGGCAGGCTGGGGTGACCTCTGCTTTCCCACCACTGATTAGTATTCACACGCTAGCTTATTAGGAACGACCCCACCAGGCCTGGCTGTTTCTTTGCCTTTGCAGTGGGTTGGCGGCTCACCTGGCAGGCACTGCAGTGAAGGAAGCTAAAGATATAATCAGGGGATGCAGGCAGGCTTTGCAAACCAGATGGCATCCATACTCCTGTGGCAAGGGAATGGACTGCAAATGCAAACATCGATTCCTAATACTGTAACGGGTTTCCTCATAGAAAACACCTAAAGAAAGCATCATCATAGTTTTGAGTTAAATTCGCTCATGTGTAACATATTAAAGATATTTCTCAGCAAAATATCTGAAAGGCTTAGCTGTTTTATTAAAGAAGATATTTGATTGCAAGGCAATTCTTATTATGACATGTTCAAAAAAGGAGAAGCAGATAAATTCTAGCCTTTCAAACCGTACAAACCACTTTCTTTTTTTGAGCGTATCTTTAAAAGAAAAATTAGAAACGAGCTAGTAGATATACCTATATAAATGAAATAGTATTTATAGAGCACATGATTTCTTTGCTTCTTTTCCTAAAGCTTTGTGAACTAGTGAAATTTGGTTTATTCAAAACATAATTTTTCTGGTTGAAATCCCAATTTCTCTTGGCAAAATGGAATCTAGGTTCTTTCTGTATGCTTAGTGTCTATGTAGAAAGGAAATGGTTAGGTTTGTTTACCAGTTGATTACTCATTTGAGATTAAATTAAAGTCATGTTTGGTTTTCATCTAATTTCACATTTTGTGTTCCATTTTAAATAGGGGGTATATTTTAAGATAGGTTGAGCTTACCCTTCTCATTGTTGAGAGTGACCTAGAACCAAATATTAGAGGTTTCATCATTCCCTAAAGTTATCATATCAGCTTGGCCTTTTACCAAAACAAACAAATGTGTGTCTAGAAATCACTTTTCCCAATTTGCCAGACGACATGATCGTAAATATGTCAAAGGAGGTTGTGATACTAGTACAGTTTGGGGGTTTGTTACTGAACCAAATCTTAGCCCTTCCACTGACCGCATGAGGTTAATTTTGGAAAAAACAGCAGAGCTACCCTCATCCTAGCTTATCTAGGATAGCCTTGGGTAGTCAATGATTATCATCACAATAACTTCAAAAAATTAACATTTATTGGAGATTTATTAAGTGCCAGGCATTATTCTAAATGATTTATGTGTGTTATCTCCTTTAATCTCCACTACAGCCTTGTCAGGTAATTATCTAGTGCTGCTATTAACAGAAATGTCACAAGTGGGTAGCTTTAACAAACAGAAATTTATTCTTACAGTTTAGGAGGAAGTCCAAATTCAGGGCGAAGTCCAAATTCAGGGCACCATCTCTAGGCGAAGGCTTTTTCTCTCTGTTGGCTCTGGGGGAAGGTCCTTGTCTCCTTTCAACATCTGTGGGCCCGGCTTTCCTTGGAAATCTCCGTGTGTCTTGGCATCAATCTTCGCCTGGGTCTAGGAGGTTCTCAGTGCAGGGACCTCGGGTCCAAAGGACATGCTCTGGTCCTGACTCTTCTTTCTTGGTGGTAGTAGGGATAATACCTACCTACCACCTTTCATGACTGTTGGGATATGTGGTTGCCCACCTACTTTTTCCACCTATCAGGATAATTGGGAAGCTCCTTTCCCACTGATAATGCATGCTGCCACAAGGCAGCGGCCTTTATGACTGTTTGAAAAAAATGGGTGTGTGCCACAAATTACTGTTTCTACAGGGTGTTGTATGAGATGTGTACATTTTTTTGGTAGGAAACAGAATTTTTGAAAATTTTTCTATGGGACAGCATATGTCCCTCTGAATTTCAGGGGACATCTAGGGGTAGAATTAGTGTGACACTGCATGTCCCTTGGGACTCGGAGGGTATGATTGTTGGTGGGGGCCAAAAAAAAAATCCATACTACCTACCAAAAATTCAACCACAGTTAATAATTCAGCATGCTTCTATTAATGAAAACACATGGTATCAACCAAAAAATCAAAGCAGAAACTAATTGGGTCTTGAAAGGGTTTTAAAGATGAGGAAACAGGCACAGAGAGGTTAAGTAAATTGCTCAAGGCCACACACAGGTTATAAACCCAGACATTCTGGATCCAAAGCCTGTTTTCCTAATTACTACACCACTGTACACAGTATAGCTGTTCATGGCCTTTTACTCTTAGGTAATTTGCATGAGTAAGGTCTCTGAATTATGAAATAGCCACTATGCAAATTTCTATATTCTCATATGCTCCTCTTATAAAATGCAAACTATCCAATAAAATGTAACCCAAGCAAGAGGAAATGCATTTTAGTAAGTTGCAAAACAGGGCTGGAATATGTGGTTCTTCTGCACTTGTTCTCACCTTTCAATGTATAAAACCAACATTCAAATCGAATGTTTAGTTGATAAACATTACAGTCTCCTGTACTAATGAGGTACCCATTGCTGTTTTCTTCATGGAGGTCCCCTACTAATAGAATTCACCTTAATTTCCTTTTTCAGAATAAGTGGATAAGCCGCAGCCCTATGCTGCAGAGAAGGGTCTACCATTCCATGGCTGCTGTCCAAAGGAAGCTTTATGTTCTTGGAGGCAATGATCTAGACTACAATAATGACCGGATCCTTGTGCGGCATATAGATTCTTATAACATAGACACTGACCAGTGGACACGCTGTAATTTCAACTTGTTGACCGGCAAGTACCTTTGATTAAATAAATTAGGAAAAGCAGGGATTCAAGAACTTGCCAAACTTGTTTTCTCAGATGCGTTTGTCTTTAGTGCATCTCTAAATTTTAGGTCTATGGTGGTAAAGGAGTCCCTGGGTGGTGCAAATGGTTAATGTGCTCAGCTGCTAACTGAAAGGCTGGAGGTTCAAGTTTACCCAGAGAAACCTCAGAAGAAAGGCCTGGTGATCTGCATCAAAAAAATTAGCCATTCAAAACCTTATGGAGCACAGTTCTACTTTGATATATATGGGGTCACCAGGAGTCAGAGTTGACTTGAGGGCAACTGGATGATGGTAAAACAACTTACTTTTATTAACTAGAAAGAGGTGCATTATTTATCTCATAGCAAAACTTGATTCATTCAGGTGGCTGAGCAGCAAGTGTTTCTCAGGGCCTTTTGTGCATGTTCTCATGTGACTAAGAAAGTCCATTATCATTAATCAGTGTTCACATAGGAACGTTGATTGACACCAGTAGGAGGAATCAGAGGATGAAAGAGTAAATAACCCTTTACAGAAGCGATATATTTTGACTTCTCACTGCTTTTGTTGTTGTTGTTGTTGTTAGGTGCCATTGAGTTGGTTCCGACCCATAGCGACCCTATGTACAACAGAACGAAACACTGCCCAGTCCTGTGCCATCCCCACGTTCGTTGTTATGCTTGAGCCCATTGTTGCAGCCATTGTGTCAATCCATCTTGTTGAGGGTCTTCTTGTTTTTTGCAGACCCTCTACTTTTAGTCCTGTTTTATTTCCTGAGTTCAGAAGTTCCAGAAAAGGGTCTTCCTTATTTGTCACTGTCAAATATTGTTTCTGACTGTATTCTCCTGAAAGCTAAACCTTAGAGCAGCTCTTTGCAGAGGTATTCACCGCATTTCTGGCCACACATACCCACCCAAGCATTGCCGCAGGGCAGCACCATGGATGGAACCCAGGTCACTCAACCTTATCCTCATCCCAAAGGGAATAAAAGAAAAGCAGGGAAGTACTTACTCCTGATGTTTCTTTATGGAATTGAAAACTTTTTCTCCCTTTGTCAGCTTGCATTATCAGTAAGTTCTACTAATAGGAAAATCACAAACAAATTCAAAATGGTGGCTTGGATTAGTTTCTGAAGACATTGTAATATGCAGAGTGGGCACTTGGTCACTCACAACAGTTGCTGGGGGGGGCAGTGGTGGGAGCATAACCGGTGAGAGGCTTGGATGCTTTATGTTGAGATTCTGTTTTTGCAAAATGATTTCTGAGGCCTGCCTACAAGCACTTAACTCTCTGCAGGTTGCTGTAGTACTACCCAAGCCTCCCCCTCCCCCATGCCATGATTCTCCCTGCTATAGGATTCAGCTTATTTATTACCCTAGTCAATCCTGTGTCAGCCCATCAATAAAAAGAGACTCTGTCACTCTCTGATGCCCTCCAGGGAAGAATATGTGGTAGTTACTCTGTCTTTTTGGAATGGGAGGAGGGGAGCCTTTCATCATTTTGGTGTGTCAGTATCTAGGGATTATCCAGGCTGGTCCCAGCTCAAGAACTTTAATATAATCTGAAAACTGTTGTGTATGTAAAGAAAGGAAGGGTAGTAACTTTATCAATCTTTTCTGCCATTTATCTCCATTTGGGGCATGCTAGGGGCATGGCTGTTTTATTGACTTCTTGGGGTTGCAGCTGTTACTTTACAAATCTAAGTACTGCCTTAAAAGCATTTGCAGATACAAGGGATGTTTTGCATTTCTAAAATATACCTTATTGCCAGCACTATAAATTAATGGCATATAATATAGTATCGAACTCTTAGTTCTTTGTGGCTTATTGTTGCTGTATTTACCAGCTTGGCTAGTAAGTGTTTTGGCCTGGTTCTGACTCGACACAGATTCTTTCTTTGAGAAATAGTGGTTAATTCTTCCCTCGGAGTACTGGGAGGCAGTGATTAGTTGCTGCACAAATTCTGTTGAATATACAAGTGTGCCACAGGAGGAAACTGTACCCCTCAATGGCAAAGGGGTTAATTAAAACATGCAGGAAAATGAATTTTTTTAAAATTTTTATTCAATTCTCTTTACTTTAGGCCAAAATGAATCTGGCATTGCTGTCCATAATGGAAGAATATATTTAGTTGGAGGCTATTCGATTTGGACAAATGAGCCTCTGGCTTGTATCCAGGTGAGTAGTTGAAGTTCCTTTTGATGTTTGTTTAAGTGGTTCAGGGAGGTTACCTTTTGCCATGCTACTACTGAAGGAAAAGATATTTACTTGTAGAGAGAAGTTCGAGCTCACTTTTTTTGTGCAGCTAGTTCAGCTGCTAATTCATCCTATATCCTAAAAATGATGCCTGATATTAAACGATCGAGCCCTGCTGAAGATGGGGATAAGCTTTGAAAATATGTAACATACTGGAAATGGGGAAAGTGGGATACCTTTGTTTCTTTCTCATAAACCAAAAAAATCTAGAAATATTTGGTAATATTTTCTTCACATCCCCAAAATTTTACAAATGCCTCCTTTCCACTCCATTGCCTTATTATTTTCCATACCACAATTCGTTCATTTCCATAAAGCCCACCTACAAAGTTGTTCTTCCTTCGTGGTCCAGGCTGGAGCAGTGTGGTTTATGACTGACTGGTCTGACCGGGGCAGCCTCTGTAGCATACAGTAGTCCTGGCACACCAGCATGAGAGCAGCCCTGGCTGGGCCAGTGGCCGGCTGGGCCTTTCAGAACAGCAGTAGCTCTTATTGATATACGTATTCAGAGTATTATTTTATTTTTTTACAGTTTTTACCATAGTTATTTTTCTGTTTTACATGTTCTCTGATAACATGATTATTGATATGTATTAGCCCTGACCTTTCTTCTGACTGCCAGAAAAATGTATCTCTGTAACTACTTATCTAATCTAATCTCTTTGTGGGAAGTTTTAACCATTGCCTCAATCTTTTTTCTTTTTTTTTTCTATTTTGGTAAATATATATGTAACAAAGCATTTCCCATTTCAACATTCTTTATATGTACAATTCAATGACATTATGTTCATCATGTTCAACCATCACCATTGTAAGTTTCTAAGTTTTTTCTTTCACCCTTAACAGAAGTTCAGTGACCCCCTAAGGAATGACTCCCCCTCCCCCCACCCCGCACCCACCCCTGGTAACCACTGATAAACTTTGATCTCTATACATTTGCCTATTCTAGGTATTTCATGTAAGTGGGATCATACAATATTTGCTCTTTGATGACTGACTGATTTCACTCAGCATGTTTTCAAGGTTGATCCATGTTGTTGCATGTATTGAGACTTCATTTCTTTTTATGGCTGTCATGGATTAAATTGTGTCCCCCAAAAATGTGTGTCAACTTGGCTAGGCCATGATTCCCAGTAGTGTGTGGTTGTCCACCATTTTGTTATCCAACGTGATTTTTCTATGTGTTGTAAATCCTACCTCTATGATGTTAATGAGGCAGGATTAGAGGCAGTTATGTTAATGAGGCAGGACTCAATCTACAAGATTAGGTAAAGTGTTTTAAGTCAATCTCTTTTGAGATATAAAAGAGAGAAGTGAGCACCAAGAAAGCAGCGCCAGGAGCAGAGCGTGTCGTTTGGACCCAGGGTTCCTATGCTGAGAAGCTCCCAGACCAGGGGAAGATTGCTGACAAGGACCTCCCCTAGAACCGACAGAGAGAAAGCCTTCGCCTAAAGCTGGCACCCTGAATTTGGATTTCTAGCCTCCTAGACTGTGAGAGAATAAACTTCTGTTTGTCAAAGCCATCCACTATGGTATTTCTATTATAGCAGCACTAGATAACCAAGACAATGGCCAAACAATACTTCATTGCATGTGTATATCACATTTTGTTTATCCGTTCGTCTATCGATTTAGGTTGTTTTCATCCTTTGACTATTGCGAATAGTGCTGCAATGAACATTGGTGTACATGTTCAATCTCTTTAACAGCTGTGGGACTGTAGGAACTTTTTATTTCTTCTCTCAGTCACTCTCCTATGGTATTTTTTTTCCCTAGAAATTTTCTATATTGTTTAAGTTTTCAAAATTGTTAGCATATAGTTGTTTTGTTAGCCTTAGTTATGTCCCCATTTACATTCATAATATTGTCTTCTTTCTTCTTCTCTTGACTAGTCTTGCCAGAGGTTTGTTGGGTAGATTTTAACATACTTCAATTTATTGATATAGACCAAATTGAAAAAAAAAAATCAGCAAGGGTAGGGAAAATCTGAACAAGTTTGTTCTACTGGATGTGATTCTGGATCCATCAGTTAGAGTGGATATATTTTTCTTAGGCACACGTGGAATATTTACAAAAACTAATCATGCACTAGGGTTAAGGTTAAGAACATTTTAACGAATTTAAAAAAAAAAAAGGTAGGAACTATGATCTCAACCAGTACCAATACCAGTTGCCATCAGGTCTCGTGGCGACCCCACGTGCATCAGAGTAGAACTGTGCTCCCCAGGGTTTTCAGTGGCTGAGTTTTTGGAAGTAGATTGCCAGGCCTTTCACCAAGGCACCTCTGGCTGGTCTGGAATCTCCAACCTTTTGGTTAGTAGCCAAGCATGTTAATCATTTGCACCAACCAGGGACTCCGTGATCTCTAACTACATTGCAATTAAGTTATAATTTAACAAAAAGTTAAATAAACCCCTATATATTTGGAGATTACAAAACACACTGCTAAATAACTTAGGAATTAAAGAAGTCATAACAGAAGTTTAAAAATACCTAGAACTTAGTGATAATGAAAACAATACATAGCAAGGCTTGTGGGATACAGCTTATGAAGGTAGAAATGAACCAAAAAATAAACTCAGAGAAAGCTAAAGAGATAATAAAAATGAGAGAAAATTAGTGAAATAGGAAACAATAATATAGTTGAAAAAAAACTGTGAAAACCTCAGGTAGATTCTTTGGAAAAGCACGTAAGTCTTTAAGGAAGTTTTTAGCCAGTTAATTGAAGGCTACCTTGTGCTAGTCATATTTTTTGGATAACAAACAATGACCAAACTGCTTTCTCCCAGGGAATTCTTCTAATCCTCATCCAAGCATATATTTGGCAGTCTTCACAGTCTTTTAGGTTTCTTTTTGCTTTTTAGAACTGGTAAAACACTGAACCAGGTGACAGTTGTGCTCTGCAATGCTGGAACATTAGTTTTTAAGTAGCTTTGGGACACTTCATTTGACCACTTGCAGAATGGAAATAAGTTTATCATGAAGTAAATGAAAATTTGAAATGTTTATGGATATCTTTCTACTATAATATCAGATTAGCTCAAGGAATGTAAAGTAAGTAGAAGCCATAACATAATGAGAATATAAAAGAAAACTCTCTAACTTATACATAAAAAATTTAGATCATAGTGCCGCCAGTTCAAAACTTTTACACATCTCCTGTTTTGGAAGTCTTGAAAATTAGCTTGTAAGACATAATTTTTTTTTTTTAAGTTACTTGATAGTCATATCATTTTTTTTTTTTGTCCTCAAAGAATTTTTCTTTAGCTCAATTCCTAATTATATGCACTAATTGGCTCCCATGACTTCTGACTGTTACTAAATAAGCGACTCTGTCCTCAAAAGATGAAGGGGTACATGTATATATATATATACACATACATATTTTAAAGCACTGAGAATATTCAAGAGTATCCTCAAGATTAAGGTGATTCTAAAGAAGATTCCAAAATGTTTTAAACAAGGCCTGTATTGGTGGAATAAATTTCACCTTTGAGATTGTACTATAAAATATTTGTTTTTATAAAGAGTCAGCATTATGGGTACTTCTGTGTTTGGGTAGCCATTTTAATGTACACAATCAGTCCTTTTGCAAATGATGTTTAATCCCTTGACTGGCACACTGGCCCTCCAAAGTGCAGATAAGTTTGATAAAGACTTTTAAGAGCCTTTACTGTTAATTGATAATTGTCTATGTAAGCATATAGATTTTCACTTAAAGTGATGTTTGGAAAAATGTCTATATGGGTAATAGGTAAAGACTCACATATATCGTACATCTTTCATTTTAATTACTAAAAATTGTTCTATTATCATTCATTGTGAACAATGGTTGCACTATCTCAAAATCTTTATTATCCTCGTGACTATGGAACTATTTATCTTGGTACATTAATAGTAATACATTGATGAAGAGACTAGCCACATGTTCAAAAACAAGCCATTTCTTTACTACTTACTCAAAGGATATACAACAGAGAAGAAGATAGATAATGGGAGACTGGAATAGTCAGTGTTCATGAGAAAATGTTGATTAGACAGTAGAAATTCCTAAGCACAAGTCAGTCTATTTAAAAGTACAGGAAAGAGTGGTGGGGAAAATAGTACACATGCTAGATATATCAAAGTTTACATTTTTCATGTCATTAGTCACAAATCTCTATAATCTTTGGATTCTAAAGGCATTGCCAATTAAAACTGGTGAACCTTTTGCCGTCGAGTCAGTTCCGATGCATAGCGACCCCATAGGACAGAGTGGAACTGCTCCATATGGTTTCCAAGGAGCGGCTGGTGATTTGAACTGTCAACCTTTTGGTTAGCAGCTGAGCTCTTAGCCACTGTGCCACCAGGGCTCAGGTCATACTTAAATAGTAGAGAGATGGGTTTATTAACATACAGAATGACTAAAATCATTTTTTTTTTCTTTTTTTTTTTTTGGTTCTTGAAAACCAAATAACCTGTCTCATTAGACCATAATCCAAGGTCTTTTAACTGTCATGTATAGGATTCAGTCACATGGAGTTGAGAAGGCATACTTTTTTCTTTCCAGTTACTACTTGACCTAGCACAGAGTACTCAATCCATCACAAGGACAACCCAAAGAACAGAAAAGCTGAGATGCTCCTAAATTAACACTTGTTTAAAAATTGAGATTTGGGCTTGTTAGTAGTAAAGACTCATGGAAAGTACTGGAAATAGATTCTGGACAGAAATGAAGGTGCTGTTGTTTATTTAGTGGGTGTGTAAGCTAATGTCTGGCAGTTTTGACTCTAATCTGATACTCCATGGATGACGAGGAGCACACAAGGGAGCAGCTGCGTAAGTGTGCAAGTGATTAGTCTGTGTTTCCAGATCACCTCTACTGTTCATCATTTACTGTTATTTCCTTTTGGCTGGAGGATATGCTGCCAGACTGGCACCTCCTTCTTCCAAATGCCTTCTTTCTGTCAGTTAACCGGGGAGTGTTTTGGAGAAAAACTGCTAGCGCTTCCTCTTCCTTGTTCACAGATTAAATACATTACATCTGCTTAACATATGCAGTCTCTGTTGGCCCCGGGAACCAGACAAAAGCTCTCTGGATGATTACATCAGCTGACATCCTGTCTTCTGAAAAATCTATTCCACTGGGGGGAAATATCACAAATGGCATGAAATCCTTGCTCTTTCTTGGGTTGCATCCTTGAGCTCAAATACTGGCTTCACCACTTGGTAGCCATATGACTTTGTGCAAATTACTTAATTTCTCTGTATCTCAACCTTCTTCTCTGTAAATTGGAGATGATACTTAACCCTATGTAGTTGTGGTAAATGTTAAATGGTCTCCAATTTGTTCTCTATGTTCAATGAAATACTAATCAAAATTCCATTGGGATTTTCCTTTTGCTAGCAGGGTGGGAGAGTGACATTTAAAGTTTCGCTAGGAAAGTAATCATATAAGAATAACTAAAAATTTTTTAAAAATGAATGGGGAGATTTGCCTTACCCAGTCAAAACAACTGTAAATGTGGTACTACAGGAAGATACATAAATCAGCAAAAGAGAAGAGAGAAAACATTCGTATTTAGCATATAATGGAAATGCTTTAAATCTGTAGTAACAGAGTGTATTGTTCAATAAATGGGTGGACAGCTAAATGTCCGTTTGAAAAAAAAAAAACTAAATACTTGATCTTTTATTCTAGACCTTGGTGATTTTCCTCCTTTATGAGCATGGATCCTCAAATCTTGAGGGCCTTTTTCATCTAAAATAATCACATTATTGCAGTTAAAGATTTAAGAGTTATCCACATAGGTGATAGATGAAGGCATGAGAGTGGACAACATTATTAAAGAAGAGTACCAAGGAGCCTGTGGTTGGAACACTGGGGCACACCTACACACAGGATGCAGGTAGAGGAAAACAAGACCAAAGGTTGATAGTGATAGGACAATGTCAGTGACAAACTTAAAAAAAAAATCATGAAATCCAAGGGAGAAAATGTTTTACGTGGGGTTGGAGGAAGGTCAGATGAAGAGAGATTAAGATGATTTAGGGCTAGAAAGAGTCTGATGGGTCTGACAAATAAAGTATGGGTAGTTTTACTCAAGAAAAAACTTTCCTAGTAGTATGGATTAAGCCAGATTCAGTGAGGTGACAGCAAGCACAGACTAGCAGAGAAGCTGTGCCATATGAGGGAAGAGATGGGACTCCAGCTTGAAGATGGAAATAAATGAGGAAAAATTTCCAGAATCAACTGAACTAATTTTGAACCTGCTGCTAAGCTGTGCTATAATATTTTATGTGCCAGACACGGAACTAGATGTCTCCAATTTTCACGGTAAAGCTGCAAGGTCAATGCTGTTTCCTTCATTTCACAAATGGGGAAGTAGGCTGAGAGAGGCTGAGGAACTTCCCAGTCACAAACCTATTATACCACAGATCAGGGATTCAGACCCTTATAGTTTGATTTCTAAGGCTATGTTCTTTCCACCATACCTCTCATCTGTCAGAGATGAGGTTAGAAAGCCATGAGTAAAGTTGTGTTTAACTAAATAGACAATGACCATACTATTTAATAAAAACAATATATTCTTCGTATCTTACTTTCCAAAGGTAAAAGCTGATAATATAGAGTCCTGTACTCCTAATTATGGTAACATGACAATGTGACCATAGCAGCAATTTTTAACTTCTGGCTCCCCATCAGAATCATTTAGGGAGCTTTAAAAAAAGTAAATAAAAAAGACAATGAATTAGAGATCTTTGACTTGGGCCTGAGAAACAGAATGTAGATTTTTAAAAAATGAAGATAATTTTACTCTGTTTTGGATATGCTGAATTTGGGATGCCTATGACATTTAGGTGGGGCTAGCAAGTACAAAATTGGATGTGTAGGTTTGGACTTTAGGAACTCTAAGCTGGAAAAAAAAGAACTACCAAGAAATTATACAACCTTTGGAGCAAACAAGACTGTACTAACATCCTGGGGTGCCAACCCAAAAACAGACCATGTTGCTATAAAAAGGAGCTAGGGCTTACCTTTCACTGTCCTGCATAATCACCTCTGGCTCCCTGGCACGCCCTTCTCAAAATTGCCTCATCTTACTTCAGTCTTTTTTTGAAGTGTAGGGTTGAGATTTGTAAGCCAACATGATGATACTATCTACTTACTAGTTGGGCAAGTTATTTAACCAGTGTTAGGCAGTTTTATTTAAATGAGGATAATATTGTCTACCCCATCACTATTCTGAACATTAAATGATTATAAACGTATGTGTATGTATATATGCAAAGAATGGGAATTCCAGAACACTAAATTGTGCTCAGGTGGAACCTGTACACAGACCAAGAGGCAGTTGTGTGAACAGAACAAGGGGATGCTGCCTGGTTTAAAGTCAGAAAAGGTGTGCATCAGGGTTGGATCCTTTCACCATACCTATTCAGTCTGTATGCTGAGCATATAATCCAAGGACTATATGAAGAACACAGCATCAGGATTGGAGAAAGTCATTAACCACCTGCGTTATACAGATGACACAGTGTTGCTTGCTGCAAGTGAAGAGGACTTGAAACACTTACTGATGAAGATCAAAAACTACAGCCTTCAGTATAGATTACACCTCAACATAAAGGAAACAAAAATCCTCACAACTGGACCAGTAAGCAACATCATGATAAATCGAGAAAATATTGACGTTATCAAGGATTTCATTTACTTGGATCCACAATCACCGCCCATGGAAGCAGCAGTCAAGAAATCAAACGTTGTATTGCATCGGGCAAATCTGCTGCAAAAGACCTCTTTACAGTGTTAAAAAGCAAAGATGTTACTTTGAGGATTAAAGTGCCCCTGACTCAAGCATGGTATTTTCAATCACTTTAAATGCATGCAAAAGCTGGACAATGAATAAGGAAGACCAAAGAAGAATAGATGAATTTGAATTATAGTGTTGTCAAAAAATACTGAATATACCATGGGCTACCAGAAGAACGAACGAATTTTTCTTGGAAGTACAGCCAGAATGCTACTTAGAAGCAAGGATGGTGAGACTTTGTCTCACATACTTTGGACATGTTATTAGAAGGGACCAGTCCCTGGAGAAGGACATCCTTGGTAATGTAGGGGGGTCAGAGAAAAAGAGGAAGACCTTCAAAGAGATGGACTGACACGATGGCTGCAACAATGGGCTCAAACAGCAATGATTGTGAGGATGACACAGGACCAGGCAGTGTTTTGTTCTGTTGTATATACGGTTGCTGAGTCGAAACTGACTCTGTGGCACCTAACAACAACCTAATATGCATATAAGTGTACACCCTTATACAAATGTAGTCTAGCACTTAGGAAATTAATAAATATTTCTGGTACTATCCTAGTGAGGAAAACAATGATGCCCAAGTATGGTCATAATAGAACTTGTTCAGGCTTCCTTTTATAAACGTTTATATGCAAGCTGTGTTTTAAGCAATCATCTTTGACATACAGGCTTCTCTTCTTCTTTTGTAGGTACTGGATGTAAGTAGGGAAGGCAAAGAAGAAGTATTCTATGGGCCTACACTTCCCTTTGCTTCCAATGGCATAGCAGCCTGCTTCCTTCCAGCTCCGTATTTCACATGCCCTAACCTTCAAACTCTTCAAGTGCCTCATCACAGGATTGGCACCATCTGAAAAGCCAATACTCTAACATTCATCATGAACAGGAGCAAAAACAAGGCTTGAGTCTAGTTACTGGACATGAAAAGACCCAGTGTTCAATGCTTCCTTATTTTATAGGTCTTATACTCAGATAAACATGAGCAAAAAATGAACAATTTTCTAAAATGTGTTATTGAAAACGCCTGTCACCCTTCTCAGTGTATGTCAACATAAAATATGTATGATTTTATTATGGTGTAGCTTAGTGCCAACTTAATGATTCATTATTGTTCCATGGGTCTTTAGAGCATTCTTTGTAAACTTTTTCTAATCAGTGCTGTCTAGGATAAAGTGATACTGTTCCTAAGGCAATTTATTTCACACTAATAGCATCAATGATCTTAAAAAACAACAACAACAACAAAACTTCAGTACTTAATCCCTTCACTCCTTAAACCCAGGTTCATAATTTTTCTTTTTAAAATTTAACATTCTTCATACCTACTCAGTAGAAACTTAGCATTATGGCATAGTAAATTTTTAAATGCCATATTTTATTCAAGGTGATACAAATAATGGAAGTACACTAGAACAGCAGTTGGAATACCCAGATGTTTCTTTTGCCTTGGTTATTTATTCTGTGACCTTGGGCCAGAAGCTTAACTTTACAAGTTTTCTCACTGTTTAAGGAGGATAATTACTGATTCCCATCTTAATTCAAAAGAATGTTCTGAGAATTAGGCAAATGCTTTCAAGTACTTCACCTAAGAAAAAAATTCAACTCAAATTACAAAGTATTTTACTGTCTTTGCAACCTTATAAATGAACATGGAGGTTAGTTTTGAATTTTAGAAATTATTAGGTAGAACTTGGAAAACATGCTATGGGATAAATGATTCTGAAAAGTGTATGAAAGAGACACACTAAATAGGAAAAAGAGCATTTACCAAAGCCAATAATCTCTAAACTTGTACAAATCCTTGCCTCGAGTAACAACTCTCAAATGTCTTACTTAAACACATTTAGTGAAAAAAGACATTTTAAATCTCAGAAAATTAGTTTGTACTAATTATGGTACAATAAAGTACTTTGACATACATTTAACCTAGCATTGGCAGTTCTAATAAATTTTTCCACTTTGTTAAAGGTTATGTCAATCTTCAGCGCTTGTGGGATTCTTCTCCACCACCAATACATATTTTATTATGACCACTTTTAATAATGCATACAAATTCTTTTTCAGGCTGGGTTTTCAGATTTGCTTTGTCTACAACAAAAAAACAAAACTCAGTGATCACATCTGAACATAAATTCAGCAAGTATAATGTGAGTTTTTCTTTTTTCCTAAATTTTGTCAAGATCTAAGTCATTTTCATTAAAAGAAAAACGACTCTTTTTTTTCCCTTGCCATAGTTTAATTATCCAGCAATCCTTATCTTTTATAGGAAACTGTCATTTTATTCATGTAACCATTTTCAGTAATCAAAAGTGACTGAAAAAACAAGTATCTTTTTATCCTAAATACAAAAGTCACTAAGTTCATACATTGTTGTGTTATAGGATACCTAAAACATTAATTTTTAAGTATATGTAACTTCTGGTTATTCAGATTAAAGGGGGAGACGGGAAACTGAGGGTAAGGAAAAAAGCAAAATTAAAAAGAACAGGAATTTAGTTTAAACAAAAAACTTCAAAGTATTTGAACAGCTCAGAACAATGAAAATTGATATTGGTAGTGGATATTTAGAATGATAATAAGAGAACCTCTTTAAAAGGTGTAAACCATCTAAACTAAATTTTAAAAATGCCTTACCAAATCAGGAAAAAGGACCCCAGCACTTCAGAAATCTTTTCAACAAGGACCTAAGCAAGAAGTATTTCAGGTTTACTAACATTTCAACCTACCATATAAGTTTTCTCTCTAGCTGTTTTATCTTATCATTTGTATTCCCAGACTTCATGTCCCGTACATGAAAGAGAGATGGCCTAAAAATAAGCCTGCCTGACTGATAAAGAGTGTGTAAGACTACTCTTGATTATTTCTGTATCCATTTCCAACTACTCATATAATACAAATCAGCATATATTTTTAAATCCTTCTTAGCAATCTTTATAATGTATTATTCATTGTATTACAGAACAAAATTGAGAATTTTGTAAAGTTTTGCACAATTTTGAGACCTCCTTTACAGCTATACCGAAACAGCAGCATAAAAGTACAACATTCCTTCCTTAAAAACAAAAACTCAAATACTTTCCCGCAAATTATCAACAAGAGAAAATGAGAAAAATCTAGAAAACTTTTTAATATAAGCCAAATTCTATTGAAACTATTCAAATATATATTTCCCATTTAAGTGAGCTACCCTATAGTAATTCATCTTCTATTTTTACTCTTCAAAATTAAAGGTCATTCTGTTGGTATTTAAATTATTAGATTGCTTTGAATTTCCATGTGAAGAGCATAAGACTTCCAAACATTTAAACATCACTTCATGATTTTATTTTATAAAAAAGAAAACAAAAAGCAGCATCACATAGATATTAGTAGAGTGAGTATTCTTATGTGGGAGGAAAAGCCAGCAAAGACATGACTCTCAAATGATCTGTAAGTAAAATGCAATATAATTCCTTAGACCCTTAATAACAAAATGCCAGTTGGATTATGATTATGGTACTTCTTATACTTTTCATATTTTCTTCACAGTTTAACCCCATGTAGATCATATCCCCTTCAGCAATAACTGAAAAACTATTGTTTTAGCACGGAGTATAAAAACAATAGGAATAAAATACAAATTGTTCCTTCAGGTAACATGGTTCATTTTTATTTTGGCTTTCAAATAGTCAATCTGTCAAAGAAAGGAAGTTAAATAATCACTAGGTCACAGGCACAGTACAGGTTAAATATAAATATTTCTAATTTTATACATAAACACGTGTGTCTGTATATATATATATACATATACACACATATACATCTTTATTATATGCTCAAATAACTTATAAACATTAAGAATGCCCAGAATTTTTCTAAAAGCACAATTTACAAATGCAATAAAATGGGTAACTTATCTATACAACCACAAACTTTAATTAGCAGAAATTGGTCAATTGCCATCTTTTGGTACTGACTCCTTACCTTACTGTGCAGGTATCACAGAATCAAAATACGAATCTCATACCCTATTAGATATGTGAAAGAATATGCTATTTTGCTAGCTTCTCAAAACAATTGTTTTAACCAACCAAAGCATGTTTATTTACATTTGCATACTACATTTCTTGATTGACAAGATAATATTTTTAATCCTAACAGGAACAGGCAAGGGATCAGTTTTTGGAAAATGTAAGGTTTATGTAAAACAGCCTGTCAATCAAGCAGCAGTGATTTAGTACAGATGATACAATTTTTGGTGAGGTTTCTATGATATCTGTCTTCTATCTTGGAAACATGAGTGCTGTGTTATGTTAACATGTAGGATTTGGGGAAGACAGGTTTCCTAAAGGTTTTCCCAACTCCAGAAGCTTGTCAAAATCTTTATATAACATATTATCTTAAAGGGAAAGTAAAAATAAAAACTGTCAAAGATTCTGTGAAAATATAGTGAAGCAGGTCCATGTAAATCTTCAAGAACAAAGTAGTTTAAGAACTTGTGATGAAGCATGGAAGAAATAATAATTTGAAAATGATGATAGTAATGAAAACCCCTAAATGGTATAAGAACCCACAAATTACTATTTTCTTCAAACATGCTTAAGGAGAAAATATACTAGATCTTATTACAAAAATTTGAAACTATGAAATTATCCTAATGCAAATGAGCTCAATAATGAATAATTTTTGCAGACAATCCTCCATGTTTTTTTCCTCCACCAGAGAGACCTCCTAATTAAATTGAAATTTAAATCATAACCAAATCTGAATGTCTAATAAAGTCATTTCATCACCCTGTTGTCCTTCAATCATCTCTTTTGCACTCTATCTGGTATTTTATAGAAATCAGTTGGCTGGAATACTCATGCATCCAAAATGTATATTTTAATTTTATCCCTATTTAAGAAGTGCCTTAAGGTCAGGTTTCTATAGGAAGGGTGATACTTCAGGCAGGCAAACTGAATGAGGCTCAGAGTGTAGAACTAATATGCCATTCAGAAAAAATAGCGGAGAGAGTCTCCTGCTTGGAAGGAGGTTAAGTTTGGAAAGAACAGGTAGATTCAGATGGCAGAAAGTCTTTCCCTGTCTGAAGGATTTGAAAGCTAGCTTGTAAACAATGGGAAGTTATTAGAGGTCTCTGAGAAAGAAAAATATCAAAAGGAAAGTAATATTTTAGGAACACTATTTTCTGAACTGTGTGTAAAATAAAGTGCAGGAAAGGAGAGCAAAGGCAAGAAGAACGACAGTTTAGTACCCAGTAGAGAAAACAGTTTGGATGGATGTAAGAGATTTCAAAAAGCAAAGAACAGTCTAACAGCCTGTACGGTGATCAACTGAAAGTGGGGAAGAATGGAGATCCAAGATGCCTCTGAAGTTTCAAGACGAAGTGACTTGGGAAAATGGTGTCTTCCCTGCGAAGAAAATTACAGCAGGAGCTAGTTTAGAATGGAAGGTGACAAGGGCAGTTTGCCACGTTGACTTGAGATTTCAGGAGGTTTCCACCAGAGTGGTTTAGTGAGAAATTAGCACTAGAAACAGGTTTGAGAGAAGAAATTACGTGCCAGTGTTATCAGATCATTACTAGAAAAGTGATGAGAAGGAGCAGGTGAAGAAGCAGATCTTGCCACTGGGGAAAGGAAAGAAGAAGGTGCTCTCAAGGTAACAATATGTATTGGAAGGAGCAGTATCATTGAGGAAGGGAAGGAAGATAAAGGAAAATTTAAATGTCAGAGAGGCCAAAGAACACAAGAAAAGAGAACATACTCTCATATTTGACCAAGAGAGAATGTAAGGCTTACATTACAAAGGTGAAAGCAACCGCCTCAGAACTTAACAGTTTATTTAGGGGAAAATGAGTATTTCAAAAAATTAAGGAAGTGGATGTAAAGTACTCAGAGTCTGGGAACAAAAGACAGGACTGTAGCAATTAAATGAAGAGTCAGGGAAGACTTTCAAGAAAAGGAACTGAGTCATAAATTTTCTTCAATTAAGGACACAGCTTTTTCAAATTTTATTTATACATAAATACACAACATATATACATGTATTGTTAAAGGTTTTTTTTGTTACTGATTTTTTAAGTACAAACTTTAGATATTCTTGGCATGTACAGACATATACCCTAATGCATGATTCAGTGGAAGCTTTTCTTATCCCATAAAAGTTTCATACTCTAGGGAGCAAAATTCTCAAAGACATCTTTATCAATTTCCCTTGTAAAATAAATATCTCTATATACATATATAGCCTCTTTAGAGACAAAACCTTATTTTAAAATAGATAAAACTTCCTCAATTGCTGAGATTCGCAAAGCAATACATTAGTTTAATAAGTCACTATCCACAATGAAAAGAACTGATTGCTATGCAGTATATTATGTAGCCTTAAAGAAGCTTTTATTTATTCCATTTGTTGTAGTGATGACAGTTGATCTAAAGGGAAAATAGACCATTTATATGTCATGAAAGTAACAGGCACTCATCTGAACTTTGCAGATTAGAATTAGGAGAACATTATTAACTATAGAATGCTGATTGTAATGTATTTCATTAAAAAAAAAAAAAACTTCTAGAGCCAAAAAAAAGGATTGAAATGCTCTCTTGAAGGAATACTAGAACCTTGATAAAGACTAGAGTCTGAAGAAAAAAACAAAAAAATTATTTCAAGGTTAACAAACATGATCTTTCAGAAAACACTGAAAAAAGGGATCATTTATCTAGGCTATCTCATTAGAGAAAGAGGAATAAAGTTGAGAGGTGTTTTTCACCTCTCCTGTGCATGAATATTATGGTAATCATATCTGTACACCTCCAAACAGAACACAGGCAACCAAATATTTTCACATACACTATCCCCTTGATTCTTACGGTAATACTGTAAAATAGAGAGATAAGAAATTGCTATACTTTTTTCTCCATGAAGGAAGTGAGGCTGAGAAAGGTTCAGTAACTTGCTCAAGGTCACAAAGTAGTGCAGGGCTGAAGCCTAAGTGGGTTCCCAAGGCTAGGACTAAAGCTCTTTCTACCAAATGATGTTCACCACAAAAGGAGTCAAGGACAGGGCCTAACCGGTAATTAAACAATCTGGATAAAAACCCATTGCCGTTGAGTCGATTCCAACTCATAGTGACCCTACAGGACAGAATGGAACTGCCCCATAGGGGTTCCAAGGACTGGCTGGTGGATTCAAACTGCCGACCTTTTGGTTAGCAGCCGAGCTCTTAACCATTGCGCCACCAGGGCTCCAAACAATCTAGATAGGATGGGGTTAAAAGTTGAGAAATAATAGCTACTAAATGAACCTAAACTGGTTCCCTGTAAATGGTAAGATGCTGTCATAAGAGGCTCTGACTGAAGAGCAAGGAGACAGATCAGCTGACTTCTACGATTCTGTTAATTTGTAATCTTAAAATATTCCTGAGTTTATTATTTATTGTTTTGTTAAAGGCTTTTGTTTCTCTTCCTTGTAATATGTCTTTTAAAGACAATTCTGAAAGGATGAGTAGAGAAAAAAGTCTGGCAACTGTTGCAACATAATCATAAACACTGTAGGCTTAGGTTTAAAAATTTTTAGGTATTATATGTACAATCATTTAGCCAGACTAAGACTTATTCCTAACGGAGTTAAGTGTGTTTTATAAGGGTTTTATTTATGAACTTTCCTCACACATAGTATGAGAAAACAAAACAAAAAAGAAAATAAAGATAGTCTCTCCTCTATCCCCCCAAAAAAACAGCATAGGGTAGCCAGGTAATTTGAAAAAGTATCATATTAAAACATAAATTGTAAAAAACAAACAAACAAAAAAACCTCAAAAATTAAAAAAATAAACATGCACAAATCAAGTCTCAAGGCAGGAACTCACATCAAAGTAAAAAGCTGATGGAGCAACCAGTACAACCAAGACAACACTCCCAGTTAGAAAAAGTTTCTTCAATTCCAACGATCCTATAACAGTTAATTAGCCTTTTATTTCCTTATTTATATACTTTATACTTACAGGTATGTAAGGAAAAAAAATCTTAGTATTTTTAAAAGAACATTATACAATTAATTAAAAGTAGAAGTTGGGGTGGTGCAAAGTGGCTTCAGATTGTGATAATCAATAAAGAGGATGAATCACAAACTACATTAAGTATTATCATTTTCCAGTCTCTGCATCTCATCTTGTCCCACTTGTCCAAGGTGAGATAAAAGTTTGCCATAGGCTTCCCTGTTTAAGAAAAAAAGAAAAGAAAGCAAATATATTTATTACCTTTTTCTAATTATTTTTCATTTAAGTATCAACAAATTGTCTATCTACTTACCTATCTACCTCTCTAAGCAGCAGACTTAGACACCACTTATAAAAAATAACATTTTATGTATATTGTGAAAAAAGCCAGATGTTAGGATCTACTGAAAGATTTTTAAGCTGATTTTTATATACAAAACATGGGCTAAGGGGCATGTAAAGGTTCATTAATCATCTGAAATAATACAATGCTGATAGGTAATGAAATATACTCATGAATATTGCTAAGGAGACGATGTTATGATTAAAATGGGAAGAATTCTGGCATAAACATGTTAAAACAAAAATCCTATAACCATAAAACTGACTTGTATAAAAATTTTAGTATATATCCCATTCTCTTCCTTAACTTCTAGAAGTAACAAAGTTTGAATATAAAACACTGTTTCTCCTATCAGATTCTCCAGTACTTCCTTGTATTTGGGATGGTGTTCAGATTTACCGTACCCAGAAGCTATTTCATTAGTCTATAATACCTGTGCTACTCAGAATCTTTAAAACCATCCCTCTCTCGTTGGTACTTCTGGCCACATAAGGTGACAGGCTAGCAAGCCATGTGTCCCAATAATATACTACATTAGGATGGTTGACAGAGGGTCTATCAAATTTTTTCAGTTACACTTGAAGACCACTTGGAGAAGTCAGATGTTAGCTACACACACACATACACATACACACATGTTGCAATTAAAATACTGTAACAAACTTTGGAACATGAATTCTAGTGTGAATACTGACCCCACTCAAACAGTATTTTTAGGAGCTATTGGTTTATTCACACAATGGTGAAATTATTCTAAATAGTTCTGAACAATCTTCAGTTGGTTTATAAGCCTCTAAGAAAAATCAAGCCTTATTACCTATTTTTAACCAAAATCCAGGGAAGCTAATTGGACACTCATCTTACTCACCAGATAGAGATGATACAGTTGATTCAATAAATTGAGCATGCCTAAAAGGGTTACGATTTGCCACCATGGATTTTATAAGAAAACAAGAGACTAAAGGTTCTGAAGTCCACTTCCCAGTGAGGAACACTGAAAGTGTTTTGAGCAAAAGCAGCACACTGAAATAAACAAACCACCCTCTAAGGTGGTCACTTTGAAAAGAACAATATGTGAATAGTGTCAGCTCTGCTAAGTTTGTTGATAAGCCACATTACTTTCATCATACTTTATAAAACTAGTAACAATCACAGAATTGAAACAATATTTTTCAACTTGAACACACTGCAAATTTTTGGGAATGAGCAAATAAACAACTTCTATAAAATGAATCTAGATTTTATAATCACTACTCTAAAGAGCATAATCAAATTGCAAACATACCTTTGTGCAATATTTCTACCAAGGCCACATTTCAGCTCTGAATCCTTCAGAGATTGAGTGAGGGTAGAAATCAAGTGGATAACAACCTGCTGGTCCAATGCTGCTACTGTTTCTAAGATGCTGTAAACCTGATAACTGTATCTCATCCCAAAATCCTGGATAAACTGCCTGAAAGCAAAACAGGTTATTTAAGATTACTCATGGGGCAGTTCCTTGGGCTGCTCTCTACACGGCAATCCACTGTAACCTGACGTAGAATTGCCATAAAAATCTAGATGAGATGTGAAGATTATCTGTAACACTTTACAATAAAGAACTGAAATGATTTACTTCAGTGTAAGCCATGACCCAAGAAATGGCATTGAGTGTGAAGGGCAATGAGTTGGAATCCCAGGTTGGGGGGAATAAGGGGAAAAACTCTAAACCCAGGGACTTTTTTTTTGCTATCCTCTTTACCTCCAAATCTGGGTGGTAGGGGGGTATGGAGGGGAAAAAAGAATCATGTTTCCTAGTTATTTTTCAGACTTTCATATATCTAGATAAATCAAACATTACTTTTATGAGGAAAGCAAGTTATTCAGAATCTATTTTTAAAGAAGAGACTTTAGACTCCTAGGTAGGACTTTATAAATCATATATTTTACCCTAACAATTTCCACTCCCCTCAACCAAATCAACAAAATAAAACCAACCTAGCTTAATGAGTTATAGACAGCAAATGCCTAATCTTTGTTATATAAAATTCTTTTCTTCCTTTCTAGGTCTTTACATTTTCACAAATCCACTACTGTCAAGTGATCACAATTTAAATAAACTGTAAACACTTGACCAGTACCAATTATGTGATGAGATAAAAACTGAGGAGTCAAAGATCCAACATAGAATGAAGGAAATGGACCTGCATTATTTACCATGGTAGTGCTAAGGCAGAAATATGCATCATCAAGGTGAACTAGTAAAAACTGTGAGAAAGAAACATTAAAAAAAAAAAGGAAACAGAAAATGTTCCTCAAGTTGTACTATAATTCTTCTGGACAACAGATCCATTCTTACAAAGTCTATGCTTCACAAATAAAACATAATGGAGCCTTCTGTGTCCAGAGGATCTAAAGTAAAAAAAACCACTGACATGCACTTCTACACTGGATCCTGTCTAACATGTTCACCAAGCTCTGAAGGCCTGTGCACCTGTCACTATGACTCAAGTTTCCCACTTTTTCTTCTCAACTACATGCAAGATTCTGCCTTACTAAATTCTAAAGTAATTTTAGTCAGCTCACTTACCTTTTTCCCTGGCACTTTTATCTTTTAATAAAACAACACAATGTAACAAAACCTCTGCCAAAAATGCAATAATTGAAATACTATAAACAAGTAGTAACACATTATGTTTTGGATAATTAGTTATTTAAAACAACATGTTAGCTGTCAAATGGCTGGCAATAGTCTCCCTGCCAGTTGGCATGTTTTCCAGTTACCTAAACACAGAAGTCAGCTGGGCGGCAGGTTCTCCTTCTGACCCCACTTGGCAGGTTTTTACCATGTACTGCAGGTTCTCTGTGGCCAGCCTTTTAACTAGGAAGAAAAATTATAGCATTACACACTATGTCTGAATTGACCATCTGGATCCTCATTTTTATCAACACTCTTGATTTAGAAAAAAATATGTTGTTTTCTTAAAGTATGTACATGCTTTTATGTTAGTTTTCAAAATGAAATAGTTACGTGTTGTTTTGTTTTAAATTATGCCCATCTCCCATTTTAAGAAAATGTAAAAAGCTTAAGTCTATTTTGACACCAATAATACTTGTGAAGATATTATGTCTTTCTCTTAGAAAGGAGTCCATATTCAAAAACACTATAACACCCCAATCCTGCAAACACTAGTACATAAGAAAAAAAAAAAAAACAAGCCTTTAAAAGAAAGCTTTTAAAGACAGGTAGATTTAATTGTTTTTATCTCAAAAGCATATCCCTCCCACCTTCTAACCAAATATGTAAGTAGCAAACTAGATACTCTCACTTTTAAAATGAGCCAAAAACAAACAAACAAAAAACCTAAATTTGTTGCTGTTGAGTTGATTCCAACTCATAGCGACCCTATAGGACAGAAAAGAACTGCCCTACAGAATTTCCAAGGAACACCTGGTGGATTCGAACTGCCGACCTTTTGGCTAGCAGCTGTAGCACTAACCACTACACACCAGACATATTAAAAAATCCAACTCTTATCTGCATAAGTGGAAAAACATACCTTGCTCATGGATAGGAAGACTCAACATTGTGAAAATGTCAATTCTACCCAAAGCGATCTACAGACACAATGCAATCCCGATCCAAATTCCAGTAGCATTTTTTACTGAGATGGAGAAACAAATCACCAACTGCATATGGAAAGGGAAGAGGCCCCAGATAAGTAAAGCATTACTCAAGAAGAAGAACAAAGTGGAGGCCTCACACTACCTGATTTTGGAAACTATTATCCTGCCACAGTAGTCAAAACAGCCTGGTACTGGTACAATAACAGATACACAGACCAATGGAACAGAATTGAGAATCCAGACATAAATTCATCCACCTGTAAGCAGTTGATATTTGACAAAGGCCCAAACTCTGTTAATTGGGGAAAAGACAGTCTCTTTAACAAATGGTGCTGGCATAACCGGATATCCATCTGCAAAAAACTGAACAAGACCCATACCTCACAACATGCACAAAAACTAACTCAAAATGGATCAACGACTTAAATATAAAATCAAAAATGATAAAGATCGTGGAAGAAAAAATAGGGACAATGCTAGGAGCCCTAATACATGGCATAAACAGAATACGAGCCATAAGTAACAATGCACAAGCACCAGAAGAGAGACTAGATAACTGGGAGCTTCTAAAAATCAAACACTTATGCTCATCAAAAGACTTCACCGAAAGAGTAAAAAGACAACCTACAGACGGGGAAAAAATCTTTGGCTACGACAAATCCGATCAGCATCTAATCTGTAAAATCTACAAGATACTGCAAAACCTCAACAACAAAAAGACAAATAACCTAATTAAAAAATGGGCAAAGGATATGAACAGGCCCTTCACCAAAGAAGGTATTCAGGCGGCTAACAGACACATAAAGAAATACTCACGATCGTCAGCCATTAGAGAAATGCAGATCAAAACTACAATGAGATATCATCTCACCCCAAAAAGGCTAGCATTAATCCAAAAAACACAAAATAATAAATGCTGGAGAGGTTGTGGAGAGACTGGAACACTTATACACTCTTTGTGGGAACGTAAAATGGTACAACCACTTTGGAAATTGATTTGGCACTTCCTTAAAAAGCTAGAAATAGAAGTACCATATGATCCAGCTATCCTGTTCCTTGGAATATATCCTAGAGAAATAAGAGCCGTCACATGAATAGATATATGCACACCCATGTTCAGTGCAGCACTGTTCACAACAGCAAAAAGATGGAAACAACCTAGGTGCCCATCAATGGACAAATGGATAAACAAATTATGGTACATCCACACAGTGGAATACTATGCAACGATAAAGAACAACAATGAAGGAGGGCATTATGCTGAGTGAATTTAGTCAGTCACAGAAGGACAAATATTGTATAAGACCACTATTATAAGAACTCAAGAGAAGATTTAAACACAGAAGAAAACATTCTTTGATGGTTACAAGGGTGGGGAGGGAGGGTGAGGGTTATTCACGAACTAGATAGTAGACAAGAATTATCTTAGGTGAAGGGAAGGACAGCACACACTACCGGGGGAAGTCAGCACAACTGGACTAAACCAAAGCTAAGAAGTTTCCTGAATACAATCAAACACTTCAAAGAACAGAGTAGCAGGGGTAGGGGTCTGGGGACCATGGTTTCAGGGGACATCTAGGTCAACTGGCATAACAAAGCTTATTAAAAAAATGTTCTGCATCCTACTTTGGTGAGTGGTATGTGGGGTCTTAAAAGCTTGCAAGCAGCCATATGAGATACATCAATCGGTCCCAACCACCTGGAGTAAAGGAGAATGAAGAACACCAAAGACTCAAGGAAAGTAGTAGCCCAAGAGAAGAAAGGGCCACATAAACCAGAGACTTTATCAGCCTGAGACCAGAAAAACTAGATGATGCCTGGCTACCACCAATATCCGCTCTGACAGGGAACATAACAGAAAGTCCCTGATGGAGCAGAGGAAAGGTAGGGTGCAGAACTCAAATTCTAGTAAGAAGACAAGACTTAATGGTCTGAATGAGACTGGAGGAAACCCGGAAAGCATGGCCCCCGGATTCTCTATCAGCCCAGAACTAAAACAATCTCCAAGGCCAACTCTTCAGAAAGGGATTGGACTGGACTGCAGGACATAAACTGATACTCGTGAGGAGCGTGGCTCTTAGCTCAAGTAGATACAAGAGACTAAATAGGCAGCTTCTGTCCGGAGGTGAGATGGGAAGGCAGAGAGGGTTAGGAGCTGGTTGAATGGATATGGGGAATCAGGGGTGGAAAGGAGGAGTGTGCTGTCACAGTATGGGGAGAGCAGTTAGGGTCACATAACTATGTATAAATTTTTGTATGGGAGACTAACTTGAAATATAAACTTCATTTAAACTACAATAAACAAACAAAAAATCCAACTCTTCGTGAAGCTATTAAATCTTTTTAACAAAATCCTTTAAAATTGGACATTTGTACATAAAAATATTGCAAAAAATATAAAGGAGGCAGAAAATCCAACATGTTCCAAATGCTACTGAATTTTTTGTCATGCTGTTTTTGACACACTAAGTACATAAGTAGCTGAAAAAAAATGCTTTTTCCAAGAATAAGAAACTTTTCAGAAACCCAAATCCATATGATGAACTTAATTAAGTAGTAGACAGTGTTTTCCATGGCATGGGGATAGTGGACAGAAAATATACAGCACATGTGCTTTATTGAGCAAACGTTTTATATTACAGGTGCTCCTAGAGCCAGTATAGCTGGTTCTTCTTAAAAGATGTATTCTTTTAAAAACAAACAAAAAAAGGTCTTCTATAGAAAAAGAACCTGAACATGAAGAAATAGCCTTCATAGAGTATTAATATTCAGGATTTTTAAAATAGAAGATTTACTGAGATACAATTCACATACCATAAAAATAAGTATTCAATTCAGCAGTTTTTAGTATATTCAGAGTTGTATCACCATCATTACTGTCTAATTTCAGAACATTTTCATCACCCTCCAAAAAACCTTGTACTCATTAACAGTCACTCCCATTCCCTCCTCCCTTGGCTCCAACCACCTACTAATCTACATTCTGTCTCTATGAATTTGCCTGTTCTAGATATTTCATACAACATATGGTCTTCTGTGACTGGCTTTTTACATTTTGCATAATGTTTTGAGGTTCATCCATGTACTTGTAGCATGCATCTGTACTTCATTCCTTTTTATGGCCACATGATACTCCATTGTATGGATATACCATTTTTTTTATCCATTCATCAAATGATGGACATTAGGTTGTTCCCACCCTTTGGCCATTAGGAATAATGCTGCTATAAATATTGGTATACAAGCTTTTGTGTGGGCATATATTTTAATTTCTCTTGCATATATAACGAAGAGTGGAATTGCTAGGTTATGTGGTATCTTTAGGTTTAATCATTTGAGGAATCAGCAGCCTGTTTTCCAAAGTGGCTGCACCACTTTACATTCCCAACAGCAGTGAATGAGGGCTCCAACATCTCCAAATCCTTCCCAGCCCCTAACCGTTGTTATTATCTGACTTTCTGATTATAGCCAACCTAGCTAGTATGAAGTAGTATTTCATTTTGGTTTTGATTTGCATTTCCCTAGTGACTAATGATGTTGAGCATATTTTCATGTGCTTTTTGGCTATTTCCATATCTCCTTTGGAGAAATATTTATTCAGATTCTTTGCCCATTTTTTAGTTATTTTTTTATTATTGAGTTATAGAGTTCTTTATATACTTATCACATATGTTTTGCAAATATTTTCTCCCATTCTGTAGGTTCTTTTTACTTTCTTGATGTTTACAGCACCAAAGTTTTAAATTTTGATGAAGTCCAATTTATCAATTTTGTCTTTTGTTACTTGTGCTTTTGGTGTCATGTCTAAGAATCCACTGCCAAATCCAAGGTCATGAAGATTTATCCCTATGTTTTCTTCTAAGAGTTTTATAGTGTGAACATAGACATTTAAGTCTTTGATCTATTTTGAGTTAATAATTATATATGGTGTTAGCTAAGGGTCCAATTTCATTCTTTTACATGTGACTATCTATTTGACCTAGCACCATTTGTTGAAAAGACTACTCTTTCCTCATTGAATTGTCTTGGTAACCTTGTAAAAAAAAAAAAAAAAAAAAAAATCAGTTGACCCCAGACCACAGGATTTATTTCTAGACTCTCAATTCTATTCCACTGATTTATATGTCTGTCCTTATACTAGTATCACACTGTCTTGATTACTATTGCTTTATAGTAAGTTTGAAATTAGGAAGTTGCAGTACTCCAACTGTGTTCTTTTTCAAGATCGTTTTGCCTATCCCTTCAATTCCATAT